ATATTGCGAAATATCATGTTTCTAGCTGCATATATGGAGAAGTTATAACAAAGAATCTCGAATCTCAACAATCAGTTGTATGGAGGCTATAGGTTATAGCGACCCGATCTTCGCCATTTTCACTGTAAGTATTTTTTTGATAACGGGTGGAAATATTGCGAAATGTCATGTTCCCAGCTGCATAAATGGAGGAGTTTGGCGAAAATTCTCATAACTGAACAATCAGTTGTATGGGAGATATATGTTATAGTGACCCGATCTTTGTTATTTTCACTATAAGTATTCTGTTAACAATGAGTGAAAACGGCGCGAATTTTTATGTTCCTAGCTGCATAAATGGAGAAGTTATCGCGAAAAATCTCATATCTGAACAATCAGTTGTATGGAGGCTATAGGTTATAGCGACCCGATCTTCGCCATTTTCACTGAAAGTATTCTTTTTATAATGAGTGACAACAGTGCCAAATTTCCGTGTTCCTAGCTACTTATATGGAGGAGTTATAACGAAAAAACTTATATCTGAACAATCAGTTGTATGGGAGCTATAGATTATAGTGACCCGATCTTTGTAATTTTCACTTTAGGTTTTCTGTTGATAACGGGTGGAAGTATTGCAAAATTTCATGTTCCTAGCTGCATAAATGGAGAAGTTATAACCAAAAATCTCATATCTGAACAATCAGTTGTATGGGAGCTATATGTTATAGTGGTCCGATTCTTCCGGTTCCAACAAATGATTAATACAATATAAAAATACACCCACCTACCAAATTTCATCCGGATATCTCGAAAACTGAGAGACTAGATTGCATATAAACAGACGGACAGACAGACAGACAGACGGACAGACGGACATGGCTAAATCGACTCAGCTCGACGTTCTGATCATTTAAGTATACATTTAAATGGGTCTATCTCTTTTTATTCTGGTACTTACAAACATTGGACCAAAGTTATAATACCATTTCATGCTCATGAAAGGTATAAAAATAAACAGCAATAAAAATCTTAATAATAAACTAGTGAACACGCATGGCGTCAAAACGCCAACATTTAATTAAATTTCTTAAACAGGTGAAACCCTATTCAAAAACCTCTAAAAATATTCCTAATGATTAATCTAAACCATTTTTCAAAGATGAGAGGTCTCACATGGTGTCGGTTTTCATTTCATCGAATTTCAAATCTCTCTGTAACTTCAAAAAATAAAACCTGTGCACATCTATGTAGAATGCCAGTTCGTTAATTTGACTTGACATTTTCGAAATAACGTTGCAGATGTGATGACCTTCAAAAAAAATAGATGGCAACTCTAATAAAAAATATTATCAGCCTACATAGTGAAATAATATAGAGTGTGCCAGATAGCAATGACATTCTATTTCGGTACCCTTATTTGACAATTTATTATCACAAACTTTTCTTTGATTTGACTTTCACGTTAACCTTTTTGAGTGAAAACTTATGAATTTTTTTGATTTGAATAAAAAAATCAACAAAAATGCCAAGAAACTCTTGCGTTGCAGTGCTGTTGTTTTCAGTCCAGAAAGATGAGGATCTAAGCTGAAATAGGACAGAGATGTGCAACCAAACCAGAGGGTTAATGCCAGAATTGAAAAAAAGCGAATACCAGAAACTAAAGAAAATATAATAACAAAATCAAATTTTGCTTTCAAATATGAAGACGTCAGTTACCTGATATACTTTATATTATTTCACTATGATCAGTCTATAGTTTTCTTAAAACTCTTTCGTTTGACAGTAATATTTCGATATTTCGTTTATGTATCTTTCGTATAAGTAAAACGAATTCGACTTTCCAAGGTGGCAACCCCTTTAAAAGTATTTTCAAACTAAAATCTTTCGCCAGGCATTGTTACTGCCATGGCTCTCAAAAAATTCTCGTGCCCATACAATTTGTATGAAGCATACCGAAACAACGCGGCGTTAACGCTGAGCGGTTGGAAAATCCGATTTTGACAGGGCGTTAGGCATTGAAGTTGGCTGCAGAAAACGGGGAAACTGTCATTTTCGTGTTACACACAAACAAACCTAGGCTTATTGTTGGTGTTATTTCTGCATTTGACGTAGCGTTGACGCTTTTGTTTACGTATGGCACTTCGGCGTTAACGCTATGCGTCAGAAACCGCTCCGCCCAACGCTTTTGTTTAGGTATGGCAGTTATACATATTTCAGTTAACTGATGAATTAAGTTGAATTTAATTTTTTTACGCACATGGCAACTCTCCTAAATACAGTTTAGAAATAAATTATTTTCAAACCCATTTCGATTGCTACCCATCTTTTGAAAATCCATTTAACTTATTAAATAGTTTGCGCTTAATTTTTTCAACAAAAAAACCCCCAAGTGCTCAGCTTAAAGATTTCTTAACACTCGTTCTTTTGATAACCATATTTTAAAATTTCATGTAACTTAGGGAACGTACCCATACTACGTGACCCGTTCAGGAGGGGGAGGGGGATCTTCCAAATACCACACTTGGTCACAGTGGGGGGCGGGGGGCTTAGGTTTTTATAACGTAGTCAATATCCACTAAGAAAATCTAGCGTTTTTTTCGAGCTACATTCAAATATGGCGCGCAGTGTTTGTCGCTTTTTAAACCCACAGATGGCAACACTGACGAACAGACGTCAGCTGATTGAAAACTGTAGCCCGTTTATGTAACTTTTCTCTACCGATTATTTCTCTACTGGTAGAGAAAATATGTCACTCTCACCTACTAATTAGCAGTAGAGAACAGGGCGGCGAATTCATATCTCAATTCGCCTTGGTAGAGAATTGTTACAGAAACGAGCTACTGATACTTAGTAGCATTTGAATTCAAGGCGAATTTATACAAAGTGGTAGCAAGAATAAACAACAACCACCACATGTATTTTGTATTGCGGGTGTTATGTCAAATCTGAATTCGCCCCAAAGTTAACGTGTACTGTGCTGTGAAATCAGTAAAATCAAAAGTAAAATACATGTAAGGCGAAGAAATCAGCTGATTAAACAACACCACCTTGTATAAATTCGCCTTGGTTTGAATTGCTGACTACAAAATAGCAAAAGTAACACTTTTATGCTTTTTAAAGCAAGCAGGTCTTGGTCCTTCTCAAAATATTATTAAATATCATTAAATGTCGTTGTACGATCGGCTGTACAATGCGTTTATTAAATGTCACAAGGATTCCTTGTCAATGCAGACAATACAGAAAAAGACGAATGAATTTTGGGTGCCTTTGAGAGATGAGTACAAAAACAACCCAAAGGAGCTGGAGCGTCTCACACAGTTAAAAATCGAAGAACTTTGTCAGATTGCGACTAAGAAAAATGCTCGTCTCCTCAATTTCTTCGTAAAGGTGAATATTCTGAGCGTATTTTGTTGAATGTTTTAAATGATTTATATTATTTGAATGTTTGAACATTGGTGATGTGTGTCTCTTTTTTGTATTTGGTGAATGTAGCTACCTGCACGAAAAGCGTCAACCATGCAAGGTGATCTCAAAATGCTCCCCAGCACCGAAGATGTCAATAATAACACTACAGAGTCTGTTTCTATTTCTCGGAAAGGTATAACCAACCGCTTTCTGCTCTGCCAATGTCGATGTATATTTTTTTCTCTAACTTTCGTAGCTTAGATTTTGATTTTTTCATTTTATGGGTAGTGATATAATACTGGTTACATTCTTTTTCTAGCCTACAGTAGCAATGAACTTTCCGTTCAATCTTCTGTTTCAATACCTTCTTCATCTGTATCTACAACAGCTCCGACACCAAAACATAATGCTTTAAAATCTGAAATTTCAGTACTTGAAGCCGAATTAAATGCTACCGCAAGAAAGCGAGATGCAGGACTTGAAAAAGACGGGATTGAGCNGATTTTGATTTTTTCATTTTATGGGTAGTGATATAATACTGGTTACATTATTTTTCTAGCCTACAGTAGCAATGAACTTTCCGTTCAATCTTCTGTTTCAATACCTTCTTCATCTGTATCTACAACAGCTCCGACACCAAAACAGAATGCTTTAAAATCTGAAATTTCAGTACTTGAAGCCGAATTAAATGCTACCGTAAGAAAGCGAGATGCAGGACTTGGAAAAGACGGGATTGAGCAGGAAATAAAAAAATTAAGGCATGATACTGATTTGAAGAAAAAAGAGTTAAAGAACAAAATAGTACGTGCAGAAAACATGCGAACAGAACATGGTCCTGAACAAGTAGTTTTTATCTCTCAAGATGATAAGGCAAAGGTACCGATTGGAAAAACAGCTGCAAAAGTACAGGCTCCTGTTTTAATGCATCTGAGTTATAAAGTTCGCCTCGATGACCATGATTTTGCTGTTTNGATGATAAGGCAAAGGTACCGATTGGAAAAACAGCTGCAAAAGTACAGGCTCCTGTTTTAATGCATCTGAGTTATAAAGTGCGCCTCGATGACCATGATTTTGCTGTTTGAGTACGCCACCAACTGACTCCATCTGTGTATGCTGGTATCATAATCAAAGAGAACTGCATGGGTAGAAAAGAAGCCAACATATATCGCAATCCGGAGTGGAAAGCATAGTAGTTCGACAGCAACAACTCACGCCAAAGACCTTATCAAACTTCTCACATTAGATGATTTTAAAAATCTGGCCTTAGGAATGGACGGGAAATTCAAACCTGTGATGATTTTTTCAGTGGATGGAGGACCGGATGAAAATCCACGCTATAAAAAGGTCATATCTCACTGTATATCNCGCCTCGATGACCATGACTTTGCTGTTGGAGTACGCCACCAACTGACTCCATCTGTGTATGCTGGTATCATAATCAAAGAGAACTGCATGGGTAGAAGAGAAGCGGTTACATATTCTGGTCCAACATATATCGCAATCCGCAGTGGAAAGCATAGTAGTTCGACAGCAACAACTCACGCCAAAGACCTTATCAAACTTCTCACATTAGATGATTTTAAAAATCTGGCCTTAGGAAAGGACGGTAAATTCAAACCTGTGATGATTTTTTCAGTGGATGGAGGACCGGATGAAAATCCACGCTATAAAAAGGTCATATCTCACTGTATATCACACTTTAAAGAGTACGATTTGGACGGGCTGTTTATGTTTACGAATGCACCCGGTCGATCGGCTTACAACCGAGTTGAGCGAAGGATGGCGCCATTGAGCCGTGATCTAGCCACGGTAGTACTTCCTTATGAGCACTACGGGTCCCATCTCGATTCTCAAGGGAAAACCATCGATAATGAGCTAGAATTGAAAAACTTTCAGCATGCAGGTATATTTTAATAGAGTGGCATACAGTCTTCTCTCTTACCATAGTATTAAAAACTAAATTTTAATTTGTTATTTTCAGGCGAAACATTAGCTGAGATTTGGTCCCAGGTGGTTATTGACGGCCACAACGTGATAGCAGAATATGTGCCTCCTGGAGAAGTCCTTCCGGAACCTACACAAGTTTCTGACATCTGGTATGGGAATCACGTTCGTGAAAGTCAATACTTTCTTCAAATAATTAAGTGTGCCGATGATTCCTGCTGTGCTCCTCGCGGAAGGGCACTAAATAATATTCTGTACCAAGGCTTTTTGCCGGCACCTTTCCCGATGTCACAAAACCCTTTCGGTATACCAAGCCCAGATGAAGTCAGATCGGAAATTTTTCCATCATTGCTTGTTCGGCAATGTATAACACTACGTCCGGATCTCTCACAGGGTAGAGAAATACCCTACGATACATACTGCCCATCTATTAAAGCCGACATCACCGGAAGGACGTGCTCAATTTGTGGACTTTATTTTGCCTCAAAAATTTCTATGAACAACCATCGAAAAAACGTGCATGGTGGTGCGGTGGATGACGTGTCTCGCGTGCGACCTCTGCGGGTTCTCTCCAGGAGACCACAGGAGGCCTTGTGTGTCATAAAGGAAAGCGTGGAGTGGATAGATGTCGAGGCTGTCAATGAAGAGATAATAATCACGTCTGAGGAAACTCCCGATGTTACCGCCCCCGTGATATACGATGTATCCGAGTGGATTGATGCTGGGAAGGTGTTTGTTGAAAATGATTGAGATGGAAAATAAAGGTTAATAAAAATAACGGGACATTTGTTTCTATAATTTAAGTTCTGCTTAAGATATATTTTGACATTTTATCTTGATAATATTTTTTCCACTTTTAATTATAGGTATGAAAGCACTCCTGCCGTCACGCAGGAAGCGTCGTGTTAATAAAGACAATTATAAGCCAAATATATTTTTTTTCAACTTTTTGTTAGCAAGAAATGATTCAAAACCATATTTATGAATTACTACGTGAAAACTGTAGGGGGAGGGGGGGCTCTTGGAATAACTACCCACGGTCACCGAGGTGGGAGGGGGGAGTTAAAAATTGCAAAAAGTGGGTCACGTAGTATGGGTACGTTCCCTTATGTATAATTAAACGAAATACCACTTTCAACCCTCTTAAAAATTATTTTCGAACTAAAATTTCCTTACATATTTTTCGTCTGACATTGTTATAAATATTTCATGTAACTGATGAATTGAGTGGAAATTTATTTTTTAAACACGTGGCAATCCTCCTAAATATAGTTCATAAATAAAGGATTTTAAACTCATTTCCATGGATAACCATCGGTTAGTAATTCATTTAACTTATTAAATAATTTTAGTTTAGCCCTTTAAACTGGGGCAACCCTCAAACACATCAAAAATGTTCTAAATTGTCAAACTAAGTATTTCTTGAAGCTCTTTTATTTGACATCCATCGTTAATATTTCATATAAAAAATAGTTCAATTAGACTTCTCAAATAGGTGGCAACCCTGTTCAAAATATTTGCAAACTACTACTTTCTTAAACCTCTTTTGTATGACACCCATATAGCGATACCTTATTGACTTACTAAATTCCTTTAATTAAGATTTAATTACATTTTTTTTAACATGTGTTAACCCTCCTATACGTAGTTAAGTTATAAAGCCTTTTCAAAACCATTTCAATTGATACCCATAATTAGTAATTGATTTAACTTTTTAATTAATTTGAGCTTAATTTCTTAACAGGTGGCAACTTTTTTTCGAAAAGGTAAAACCTTCTTGAACATCCACACTAGGGCGGGTCGAAAATCTAATTTTTCTCAAATCCCTTGGTAATAGTGAAAATATATTGTATCATGAAGTCAACAACAGGTCTGCAAAATATTAGTATTTTATTTTAATTGTGAGAGCCCGCGCATCGACCGCCAAGTGACCCACAGCACACTAGTCGAATAAGACCAATTCTTGTTAAAAATTCTGGGTCCAGTAAAAAGGGTTGTGCATATTATTAGATAATGAATCCGTTAACGCAAAAGATAAAGTCGAATGTCATTTCTCGCAGCACTTTAGCTTGCCGTTAATCTCAAACTTATTTATTTTCAAGAAAATTGTAATTGTTCTCTTGATAATTGCACTGGCCTATAGTCAAAAGATGTAAAGAACAGCATTAANCCCTACTTTCATACAACGGCAAATTTAGAAACCGCGAAAAATGTGCTTCTCTGGTGACTAATGAAACCATTCCGCACTAATTTTCAATACTGCATAAATAGACTTAAAATGGGCGTTTCTCACCCCAATTGTATTATGTTAATGTATGCAAATACTTATATGCTTGAAACTACTATTAATTTGTCAAACGATTCCTATTCTTTGACAATACATTCATTCACCACGATCTTGAAAACTGACCAAATCGGCGAGACCAAGTCCATGGTCATTTTAATATTATATAAACATCCGAAAATATTAAAACGTTTGAAATAAATCTCGTCTCACTTTTTTGTATTTTTCACTTGTTTGCTGAAGTAATGAAGAATTGAAAATTCATAAGGGAAGATTATAGTTTTTGTAAGTTTTATCTTACTATCGTAAAAACGTATAGACTTATTGAAAAATGATAAATGAACGTGAGTTACTAAATTTAATAGCCCTTAATTTGATATATCGTTCTATTCATAACAATAACGCATTCCATAGATATTTCAATCCAAAGCTTCATTTTCAACATTTATACACTTTGATTCAATTGCGCGGGCTAAAGATAAGTTTTAAATTAATCTTTCTGGGCCAATAACAATTGGCTTAGACCTAAGACATCATAATATTACTATTACAATGCGGTCAAATGACTTTTATTTTCCCCCATACAAAATCGACCCAGCCTAATCCACACCCTAAGCCCTTTAATTTGGTACCTCACTTTTGAAAATCGAACGAACGGTGCCGATCTGAGGGCATTGATTAGTAAATAACTTGAGTTTAATTATTTAACAGGTGGCAATTCTTTTCGAAAAAATAAAACCTTATTGCACATCTACAGGCCAAGCGCTTAAATTTGACACCCCATTCTTGAGAATCGAACGAACGGTGCAGATCTTTTATGCTGCACAAAAAATGCCTTCGCGTATTATATATATAGATAGTTTGTACATATGCAAGTAACCCATATCAAAATTCAAAGTGCTGATTTTTATTTTTATTATTTTTTTCACTTAGGTGGATCTCTTCTGCCATCTGGATCTTTATTAATTTCTTATATTTTGTTTTTATACACTTGTAATTACTAATATTGATTAGCATAAAAGTATTTGTGGTAGTTGTTGTTGTGAATAAGATATGCAAATACTTTGGTGTGTGGGTGGTGTTACACTGAGCAAGGTCATAGTGAGCGCGTTAAGTCCGTATGTGTTCAGTCCTACGTTGATGTCACCTAACCCCCAACTACTATTCAATCTAGTGTGGCATGTCAACCGCCAATGCCGTAGCTTCAACGTTGGATGCCACACTCCCCCCACTACCCCCTACTATGAACCTCACCAATGCACGATGCTGGATCGCACACTAGGTAGCTCATAGCTTGCCTTCACTAAACTCAAAACAAAAACAGCTACTAGTGACACCACAACTTCGAATCCCTCTTCACCAGCGCACTGAAGCAACAACGAAGGCACTTCGAAGTTCTGATGTTCACTCTCCCCCATGTTAGGCACTCAGGCACTAGTCACTTACGGTGGCCGCAAGTGACGTTGTCTTACTGGCCCTAACTCGTCCGATAGAAAGTAAGGAATAAAAAAAAGGAAATTAGAACAGAAGGAATCAAGGAAGAAAACGAAGAGTTAAAAGTTAAAGGGACAAAGATGGGAAAATTAAACAAACTATTGGGCTATTACCGTTGGGCGCCATTGTTATGTCGGTACCTGTCGGTTAAGGCCAGGTGGTATACAGTCATGGTTTTCCAGGCCCAGGATAGCTTGCCGGATGGGGGGGTTGTTACCACCCGCCATACCTACCACACATAAACAAAATTTATTCATGCCTGGTTTCAAGGATAACAAGAAAGTAGGGAAGAAACCCGAGCACAATGAAAAAGGAACGGAAGCAAAGAAACAAGGAAAGGCCTGTCCTGTCAGGTGGAGTCGTCCCACCCCCTCTGCGTGTCTCGCATATGCAGCCATGGGCGTTGCGCTGACTCCTAATATTATTGCAACGCCCCCTTTGCCTGACTTAGTTCGTCTGTCTATTCGTCTATCAGTCTCGTCCCAGTCGAGTCATCGGTCTACGGCCCCAGTGTAACACCCATACCAAAAATGTAAATATTCAGCACTCCATTTCGAAACCCTTAGCCCTTCAGATGTTTAACAATAGTATTTCCATTGGTCTCTCTTTTTATTTCACGAAGCTTAGCCTAATTACAAAGTTAATTAAACCTAAAGAACCTAAAAAAAAACAAGTATTTATAAAGATTAAATTCAATTCAACCACCCCAGTGCAAATTCAAATATATGTGTGCACAAGTATATGTATGTATAACTACCCTAACATGTGAATGAGTTACAGCCATGATACAATAATTTTTAGAAGGTAGTATCACTACTTCTTCTTATCCGCCATGTTAGCTATCTGACACAAAACGTGTTTCGTTTTTTTGTACCAACTTTAAAAAAAAAAAATCCAGCTTTCGACGTTGGAAAAATAAAAGACAGGAAAGCCAAACATAAAAGTAGAGGAATATTCTAATATTTTTAAATAATTTTCTTCATAAAAAATTAAGAAAAAATTAACTGCTGCCTCCGTGGATATTGCAACACACGGAATAAAAGGATGCAGCAATAAGAGCCACCGCACACCACAGAATTTATCGGCCGCTTATTTAAATAGTAGGGCTCGCTTGCAATATGCACATGAAGATGTATAGAGGTGCGCACACTACACCAACTTAATCGCTCCTACCAATTAGTTGTGGTGCAATGGAAAGACTAGCGAGCTCAACTAAATCGACGGCCGATAAAGTCCGTGGTGTGCGATGGATCTAAAACATTTTAAACAAGAAATATTGGCGTCACACATTAGCGCACACAAGGGGTGGGTTTAGGGGTTCAAACCCCCCCTAAATCTAATAACCTGAAATGCAAACTGTATGCTAAAGCCAGCTCTCAAGAAAAAGACAAGAAATATTTTTTATTAAAAAGCACTTTGCTTTTGCAGTAAATTTTCTTGAAGAAATAAACATACGAGCATTTTTTCCTTGAGAGATGCAAACTGATTTAAGAAATTTTGATAGAAGAAAATTTCTATTCCATTTCTTCTGCGTCATTTTATAAGATTTTTTCGTTTTTCTTGAGAGCTCTTAAAAGTTTAACTGCGAATGAAACCATTGTCCTAAAAATATGCAATGCATACTCACTTACTTTTGTTTTTTACACCTTACAGCCTAAAAGAGTTTACCACTGATATGTACTTAACAAGGATTCGAAGATTTAATTTACCAAATTCGAATTCGTTCCACCAAAATTACCTACATAATAAAAATGAAAGTTCATTTAATTTTTCCGGTAGCTATTCGAAATATTAAAAAAATTAGGCAATCATGAAAAATCACCATATCAATCGAAAACCAGACACCAGAAATCGAGAAAAATGAGCATTAAAACTATTTTTTAAATTTTTTCATTACTTTTGAAAGTTGAGCGCATCTTGTGTTTATAGAACTTTATATTAAACAAGTAGTTTTCAAATTACGGGACGACCC